CTGTTTTCGTTTTCTCTCGAAATATTGATAATTATGAAGTTACTGTTCTTGATAGATGGTATTCCGTAGATCATCATTCCAGTTGACATATGTCAACGAACGAAGTAAACTCGGGTTGTGCTGGAATGTTATGACCTAGCTTATGTCGAAGTTAAAACTTGCAGTCATTACCTAACATATATCACTTTTACGTGGTATTGGTAGTCTGTGGCTGCTTTGCTAGGTGTGTGAGATGAGCGTGACATTACTGCGGAAACGTCTCGGTAAGAACAGATTGCAGACACATAAAGAGCAAAAACTGATGAATGGGCTAGTCCATAGCACACAAATGATTCATCACAGTTGGTCACCCTTAACCTTGACGATGCTTGCTAGATAGTCGGATGGTCACTGGTCTGTCATCTAACGCAAAAATGGTGTAACCTAAATGATGACGTGGGTATTGATCAGTGAATTTTCCTTAGCCTTACAATTATAAGATCTACCCATTCCACCAAAAAGGAAGTAGGAACTCTGAATGATGTCCACATCACAACCTCTGAAGTAGATGATCTTGAAGACAGCAGCGAACTCTATAATCATCTTAGCATTGTTCCGTAACCGCATGACCTTTGAAGCCGATTATGATGATTTATATTCCGAAACTGACATGGAGAAAAAGTTTACAATGGATAACGCGGGAACATTGAATTCAATTTAATCGGATGGCAAGACTCAGCTATGCAGACGTTGTCATTCTCGTGTAACATATCTCTTTTACTCATATTAAATACATTGTTCTATCTTCAGCCTAAATGTGTTCTCCATCATATATTGGCGGTTCTTACGATAGGACGAGTAAGTGTAGACAATAATATGACTTCTACGAAAGATCTTATAGATTAGGTAGTCACATCTATAATATCTACAACTTTAGGATTAGGTCTGTTATTATCATATGTTATGAATTTAAGTTGTTGTCGTTTTCTACCCTGTGTTATCGATCGATTACAATGACACGCAAACACGTACGGACGGCCTAGAGTTCTGATTGGTCCTGCTTCCCTGTATAGCCCAGCCAATTGAGTCCAGAACACAAGTCACAGCCTCGCGGATATGAATCACTATATTTCAAACATACTTTGTTTATATACCAGTCAAGCATACCACAGCGTACCATAAAAATAGAAAACAACATTTTGTACAAGTGAACAGATATCGACCAATAGGAAATGTCCATTTAAAGTCCAAGGACACCATTGAACTTAACATGATAATTATTGGTCTATTCCTGCGCATCCGCAACACCTCCCCTTTTTTTTGAAGATCCGGAGTTGATATCCGGATTTTGAAATTTTCTGGGTTCATCCTCCCCCACGAAATAACGTTAGGTCCTCATATACCCAAGTAACAGTTAGTCTGATTCGAATTAAAGCATATTTCGCGCATTGAGTAGAGGGTTCACTAAGACTGACTAAATGATGAGGATTAGCGACACCAGACATGAGGTCATTAAGGTTTGATTCTTGTGCAACATATTCTTCAGACCTCTTCAAAATTCTATCACTGGATAATAGGTCACTAAAACAAACAGCATCTTTGTAATTCGTATTAGATTTCTGACCATTATTTGATGCACGGGAAACATTTTCTGACACGAGAGGTTCTTCTTGTAAGCTGGATACCTCACATGTTTCAGGCACAGTGGGATTTGAACCCACAACAGGGAATGTTTCTGAATTTGACATTTCTGAACAACTGGGCGGATCATGAATGATTGTCTCGTTTACATCACTGGTCGTCCGGGATTCACAGAGGCTTTTATAGGCAGCTTCATATGTTCTGCAGTTGTTTTCCAGCTCAGTCTGCAGATGAGAAATGAAATTACCAACTTCTGTTGCATTTCCGAAACATGGAAAATTTACCAACAGTGTGCGTAAATTTTCTAAAAAATTCAACTGGCTATTTTTGAAACACTGCTGTTGTTGATCAAGTAGAAGCTGTAATTGATCGGAACAGGTAGTCATTATTTTTTCAGCACCAGCAATGAAAATTAACTGTAGGAATAATGACCAATGTTGCTCAAGGACGCTGGTGACAATCTGGATGCTGATTGGTCGAAACAATTAGCCTGAATCGCGTCCAGTTGCAAGGTTCAAAATTTTTCTCCACCCCGTCGCCAATTGTTATGAATTTAAGTTGTTGTCGTTTTCTACCCTGTGTTATCGATCGATTACAATGACACGCAAACACGTACGGACGGCCTAGAGTTCTGATTGGTCCTGCTTCCCTGTATAGCCCAGCCAATTGAGTCCAGAACACAAGTCACAGCCTCGCGGATATGAATCACTATATTTCAAACATACTTTGTTTATATACCAGTCAAGCATACCACAGCGTACCATAAAAATAGAAAACAACATTTTGTACAAGTGAACAGATATCGACCAATAGGAAATGTCCATTTAAAGTCCAAGGACACCATTGAACTTAACATGATAATTATTGGTCTATTCCTGCGCATCCGCAACATCATACCACTAATAACGACGCAGACCATAGTTCTACAGATCTACCAGGACACCACAACTCACTGGTTAGTGTAAACAAACGGATGTCAAGCTCCACTGGTGCAGTGTGTCTCGACAAAGAGTAAGAAGAAATAGGGCTGGAAAAATCATACGGGTGGAATGATGATGCCCCAGCAATGACAAAGATGCAAAAAATACGTCTACTTGTTTTCTGCAGTAGGAAGCATTACATCACTTTATTTATTAATTCTTACGAACTGTGGGTTGGTCGCACTGTCAATCTCAGCATTAAGACTAGTCGAAAAATATCGTTCATGCGATGACAGTGTAGTAGTATGCCACGGCAATACAATGGGCAGTTCTCCGACTTCATAGTAATGATTAGTCAGTTGTGGTGAAGACAATACGAATGTTTTATCTGAATATGAAATTGAGAATGAAGCTACGCACGGGGATTGATCGAGTTGGAGAACTTGTTACTATTTACCGCGAACTCAATCTCTATAAACTCGGCCATTCGTAAGAGAACTCGAGGTGTGCATTTATATGAACATTAGTCTGGGGAAGAGGAGAGTGAAGGCGTTTTGCTGTTAGTCCGACAAACTCCGTCACATGGAGTAGTGATTTAGAGCAGCCACGAAAGTATGTACTTCATGCAGGGAATTCGGACACCAGTGTAAAGCAATTTTTGGCACGTCTGTCTAGGAATATAGAGAAAATATCTCCAAATACATATTTCATATTGATTACTACCCCTGTAGTTCTGTTGTATGTAATGTTTCCTTCACTGGTGTCTATATTTTCGAATACTAGTTCCCCCTATAGTGGCTGATTGAAACTATCATTACTATCTTATTTACAGATTCTAATCTAAAAAACTTGTTGATTTTATTACGTTTCTACTAACTGTTTTAACTTGATTCTACCCACCACTGTTTTATGGTTGGTTTACCTTGGAGCTGCTGTATTTAATTTGTCACTTTGTGAATCCATTATATCTGATCCATGAAGTTGATTTAAAGCAACGTTCTCTGTTTGTTTGTGGAACGTTTGGTATTAGTGTAGGGTAGTTAGTTTTATTTCTTTTAGAATCATTACTTTCTAGTTTATTTCCCAACCTCGGAGCTGATTGTGCTGGCTAAAGTATTTTTCATGAGTGAGTTTTGTCAAGTGTCTGTTTCCGTTTAAAAAGCACCTTTCAAGAACAATTACTTTAACTTGTACATGAAATTTTTCGCAGTACATCTTCTACATCCCCTGTACCAATTTTTACGCCCTTCACGTCACCGTATGGGAGTTGATAGCTTTTATCGTTCTTGGATTTATTGAAGTTTATAGAGCGTGATGATGTCACAGGTATTCAGTGTTTGACAACGCTTCTACCAGTAACACCTAATTTATTTCGTTCCCACCCAGATAAATCAAAAGACAGAGTCGAGGAGATCGGAAGAGTATATTTGACGATGACCAATATATCGGAATTCTCTGATCTAATCTGGCTAGCGATTGCGGTTGATGTTGAGCACGGCGTTACCACACGTGATCTGGTGCGGATGCCTGACCGAGCGCCTTCAGCTAGATGAGTCCACTAAAACATATGGTCAGCATCCAATGTCGAAAACTTAGTGCTGTATATTTTGGGGATTTATTTACCGCTACAAGCGTTACTTTTATACTATCAAGTATACAGTCATACTCAGGCAGTCTGTGTTCAGACGTGATAGTTGTTAACACAAATTTTCACGCATATGAATTCTCACTTACGCCGTTTCGGATAAAAAAAGTAGCTTGAATTTTTCTATATTCCGTCAACAACATGCTCTCAGATTTAACTTTGTGCACATACGTTGATAACTGCCTGAATGCCGTCACTTCGTCACCTAGACTTAGAACTCAAAGGACTCTAAAGATATGATATCACTGTGAGCATACAGGGTGTTCGACTAGGGACTCCAATATTTGATTTTCACAGATAAGGAGCTGACGCCAAAAGTATTCAACTACTGGCCATATTTGAAAGTGAAGATATAAGAGTGCTCCCGCATCAATTTATAATGACGCACGATAGCTATGCAGAGCAGGTATCCCTTAGGATTCCTTACACACTGTATAGGTGTTCCGGATAAGTTTTGTCATAAACTGAGATCTCTGCTTAGCGGTCAACTTCTGTAAACACGCAGCTTCGGACGGTCATTCACAAATCAACAGTATGGTCGAAGGATCCCATCGAATGTCAAAGATTTTTGTTCAGCACCAGAGAGATACCTTCATTCCTTGTACAAGGCATGAGCAATGCAGCGAAAGCAAACGTCATGTGTCCATGACATGACCTCTCGACTTCCAGCTGAATATATAGATCTCAAACTAAATTGTCATAAGTTTAGCCGATATCAGCTGAGGATGTAAAACTTAGTTCCTTACCCTAAATTTTAATCCTGACTCGCCATACTAATTTGTAATCCTTTTTGATGCTAGTAATTTTAAGTTATTCCAAGGTCATTTCACCGCCGCCCAAAGGTCATTCGTAGGTCATGCTCTAGCCGCAGTTTTAGCTGATATTACGTTAATGTACAGTTTTTATAAGTTAGATTCACTTGATCAGATGTGTTGAATTAAACTGGTCCATCCACAGTGACGACGTGTAATCATATAGATTCATCAGTATCACGTATTATTGTTTGAGAACGGTGAAAGTCTGGACAACATGAAATGACTTAAGTTATCTAGGGAACCGTAAAAGGGGAAATGAACGCGAACTAGGGCAGAAATAAAGTTGACCATAGAGCAAATAAAGAAGAAAAGTCGATTTCCCCCCTGACGTCTATTATTTGGGGAGAATTTCGACAGTTATGTTTGGAGAACTATGTTATATAGGTATTGATACACCTAAGTCCATACGTTACATTGAACTGTTCGTAAGAGTATCAAATTCTCCGCGTTAGTAAGAACTTTTTTACTCAAACGAAAATATAAACTTCTAGTAATGACGAATATCATCCACAAAATGCTCAATGTTTTTCCTACCGTCAGAGTGTCTTATGCACTTTGACATGGTTACTTAGGCAGCCATTTTTAAAAAAGTTTTATAACTTCCACAAATTGTAGTAAATTCCTTCAAAAAGCAGGGTTCATGCTAAAGTGGACAGGAAGTTAAGCAGTTTCCCACACTTGACAACTGGTAGTTCACTTTAGATCGATTAGACCTAAACTTACCAATTAAAATTCTACCTCCTTTAGTATACTGATGCATACCTTGGGGGCAGCACTTGTTACAATTCTATTATTCAAAGATGTCGGAAACTAACATAATACTATATTACTAAATAACGTTACTTGTAAACTGTTTGGTAAGGGTGAGAAGGGAAAATCTGGTGGTTAATTATTTTAAGATTCATTTTTCAATATCTATATCTTTGGGATGACCATTAGAATGAGCCCTTCTCCACTATAAACAAACAATATTCACCACTCCCCAAACTTTTTATTGTAATTTAGTTGCTGCGGCAAATAATGACTTTACTGAAGTTCGAAAAAGACTATCTCGGCATACACATATGGTTTCAATTCTACTTGAACAATTTATGAAATTTTGAGGAATTAAACATTTTGTTTGTAGAAAGTATCGTTATTTTAATCACAATTTGCAGGTGAAAATGGCGAACTTCTTTTTTCGCTTTTAGGAATACGACTACAAGTGTATTACCGTATATTCAAAACAATACTAAGATCAATATGATATGGGAAAATGTTCAGTACAATCCGACTTACATGATTTATTTTTTTTCACCATCATAGACACCAGTATGAAACCAAATCGATGGGAATAAACATGGCATGTAGTAGTAAATACCGTAAAAATAATTTAGGCTTTATTGAGGAGACGATACAACTTGTAGTAATTAAACTGAATAGTCCATTTCTATTTCATTAGAAGTCGAATAACTTAAAAACTATCTTACAATTGCTTACATTTTAAGTAGCAACTATTCGTATTTGTTAGCGTTTGCTGTTTTTACATGAGTTTGTCATTTCACTGAGAAGGAAACTCTTGCTGGTCATTTGTTTCGCTTTTTGAAATCACTTCATTAGGTTTTCGTCAGTAGTTTGATTACGTGAACAGTTTTTAGTCAAACCCACCATCTATCAGTATTATACTCATCCTAACAACCAAAACGGTTCAATCACAGAACCTAAAATACTTTATTATAATAGCTACAGGCGTCGTATCCTAAACCAACTGGGAAACTCCAATATATATTATCTAGATAGAGCCTTAGTTTTATTTGCATTTATCATCACTTTCATTCACCCCTTTTTCAGATCAACTGATGGGCGATTCACTGTATTAAATGGAGGAGCATTTGCTAGTCCGTAAAAATACACACATTTACGGATGGTAAATCATGCGCGAAGAATTATTGCAGGTATCTTTCGTTAAAAAGTAAATCAAGCTTTCGTGCAGAAATTACATTCTCTTCAGGAACGCAAACGTCTTATGTGTTCTCGTTCGACGAAGATTCGAGAAGTTGAATTAAAAAGGAAAATAATTAACGATGGTTAGTTATTTCTTAATGTAGTGACTAGAGTTTTCCACATATAGTTCTAGAAATTGTGCCAAAATCATCAGCGACTGCTACATGCCTCCGGGCAATTGAATTCGAGGTAATTAAGCAGGATATAACTCTGCGACCTTGGAAACAAAGAAAATTGAAGTCAATGGATTCGACAAATAAGACGGTATAATAATTTTTCTTCCACTAACGATAATAGGATAGTAAAATTCATTCATACTTTCCACTAACAGACTTGGTTGTTTTCATCAGTATATATATATGATGATAATTGAAATACAAAGAGATATGACCATCAGTGCTTATGTCTGACCTTTATTAACTGTCAAAGCTATCGGAGTGTATATGATTTCAGTGCTCATTCAGTAAATAGTCAATCATGAATTCCTGTTCATTCTAACTCATACTAGCATCATGGTAGCATTTTCATTCCTTGTGTGTCACATTTCATCAGTAGTTCAATACATGACTCTGCAAATATTAGGCTTTAAAGTATATCAGTCAGTCAGCTACAACGTAGGACCTGGCATATTTATGCATCGGTCCAAGTTGCCATACTTCATTAACACAACAAGATGGACACCGGATTCATAAAAGTAGTTAATTCAGAGGTGGTAATATATAGGAGGAAGATTGCAATAAGGATATAGTACAGGAAGAAAGAATTAGTTAGTAGAAAGAAAGATATAAAGTGATTTTAATCTCTTAGTTTAAGGGGAGATAGAGAGTGTATACAACTACGCCGTTGTGATCGATTCTGAGCCATGTCACCAAGAGTCTCCAACCATTGGTTACGATTGTCACGCGGACCACAACCAAGTAGTCCGCATCTACCAACATGGCTCAGACTAGAAGTTAGTGACTTCAAGCACTGATGCCACGTTTCGGCTTGGCCGCCCCTAACTTTCTTCCAACCATTTCCAATACCGGATAGCATTGCACGACGTGGTAATCGATGTTCAGGCATACGTAACACGTGGCCCAACCATCTCAGTCGATGAAGATTCACAACCTCATCAACTGATATATCATCATTCCCTAATACCCTGCGTCGAACCTCATTATTACTTACCCGGTAATCCCAGCAGACGCCAGCAATATTTCTAAGGCATCTGTGGTCAAATACTAGTAGCTTACGAGTGTCTTCTACTCTTAATGGCCATGTTTCGCTGCCGTAAATTAAAACAGAACGAACTGCTGCGCAGTATAGTCGTCCTTTTGTTGATAGACGGATATCTCGCCTTCGCCATAGGTGACGTGAGTTGGATAACGTCTAACTCCCAGATCTTATTTAAAATATTAGTCAACCTAATCGCTAAAATTGAACCACCATCCTTAAAGACCTCTGGAGCCAATCCATCTGAACCAGCTGCCCTTCCTCGTTTCAGATTAACTATAGCCTTTTGAACTTCAGCAAGAGTTGGGGGACCTACTTCAATGTTCCATTCACGTTGTCTGGGAATGGAGGGTAGTTGTAGAGTAGCTGAAGGTCAGTTGAACTGTTCTCTGAAATGATCCGCCCATCGTTCTAAACGTCTGGACTGAGAGCAGATGAGGGTGTCGTCTTTTTCCGAAATAGTCTCACTTACACTTGATTTATTAATTCCAGTTTCTTTTATTAGTCTGTAGAGCTGTCTTGCGTTCTCCATAGCCGCCGCCTTTTCCATCTCTCTTGCTTTCGGGCCCCCTGAATGCCCTGGTACGGCCGAGAGTGGGGAGAGTCCGCTCTCCCTCTCGAAATACTCTCACACGGCCACGCGTATATAGCCTCTGCCAGGGAAGTCCTACTCATTGCCTTCTCGTGGCGGGGGTGTTGTTTACGAAAATGAGAGGACGAGAAGCGAATGTCCGGCGCTTTAACCGGATTCCAAATCAATGGTGCACATGGGCTCCAGTATCCTGCGGGAACGAATGGCGTATGAACCAATCGTTGGTCACCGGCTACCATGGGACTGCATCTCCTTACGATGCTCCACTGCCTTGTGGGTTAGACCTTTAGGTCAAAGGCTCGGGGAGTGGCCCCCTAAGATAACCACCTGCTTCGGTTTGGGCACCCGGGCAGTATCACAGCCCACACACAAATGATGAACTGTTTATGTCTATGGAAACTACTTTTGTCGCTTTGAAAAACAATCAATTGATTCAAATTATGATCACTTCAATTATTGTCATTATTAATAATAATATTATTATTACTACTATTATTGTCATTATTGTTATTATTATCATTATTATTATTATTTTCCACATTATTCACCTTCTTTTATACTTATACAGCGGCTCGTCTTTGGTAGAATTCCGACTGTATCTAAACGTTCTCGAGTCACTGTCCGGTTGAAAATTGTATGTTACCACCGAATACGAGGACTGAAGTAGATTTTCTGAAACCACGTGCATCATTCAAACTGGCTGCCTTCAACGTTCGCACATTTATGCAGGTCGGACAACAGATTGGGCTGGCTATGTCTTTGGAAAGTCTTAATATCGACGTGTGTTGTCTATCCGAGACCCGTATTCAAGACTCTGGCGAAGTACTACAAATTCGATCTCCATCTGTCGCTTCGAAAAGCTTGTTTTACGTGCGCTTATCCGGGGACCCTGTGGCATCTTCGTCTGGTTTTGCTGGCGTTGGTGTCGCACTAAGCGCTAGAGCTGAGGCAGCACTAGTCGATTGGATCCCCATTAACAGTCGGTTATGTGCTGTTAGATTAGAAAGTTCCATCAAAGTGAGAAGAAATCGGCGTGAGAAACGATGTCTTTTTGTCATCTCCGCCTATGCCCCGACAGATTGCAGCCCGGATGCAATCAAGGATGAATTTTACCACCAGTTATCTGTTCTTCTCCAGAAAGTGCGTTCGACAGATATTGTAGTACTAGCCGGAGACTTGAATGCTCAGGTCGGGCGTCTAGGCACAGAAGAGAGTCGTTTAGGTGGCCGATGGGGACTCGTTGGTCGCAGGTCAGATAACGGGGACCGTCTACTGCAACTTTGCGCAGACCACAACCTGTTTCTGGCTAGCACTAACTTTCGGCACAGTCATCGCCGATGTGCCACCTGGCGTCCTCCCTCTGCATCTCAAGCCTGGACTCAGATTGATCACATCGCGATCAGCTACCGCTGGCGTGGTTGTGTACAAGACTGCCGCTCCTTTTGGAGTACCTATCTGGACTCTGACCATGCCTTGGTCTGCGCCAATCTTGCCTTACTTTTCAGTGGACAACGAAGTGAACGCCATCAACGGATTGATGTTAGCAAGCTGGTTGCAACTTCTGTTGCAAGTAAGTATCGAACCGAGCTAGCCTCTAGGCTAGCTACCACTCCACCGAAAAGTATAGATGAGCATTGGTTGCAATTGCATGACGCCATGAAAATGGCGGGAACAGTCAGTTGTGGGTTTGCGAAACGTCCCGCTTTTAAGCACTGGGTTTCTTCTGGTTCCTTACAACTCATTGAAGCCCGTCGGTCTACTCCGGGTAACCGTGAGTTTGACCATAAACGAAGGTTTTTACGTAAGGAAATCGGGCAAAGCTTGCGTAAGGACCGAGAAGCCTGGTGGTCGATGCGTGCTAATGAGCTGGAAGCAGCAGCTGCATCTGGTAACTACCGGAAGCTCTTCCAACTCATCCGAGCCACTGGCAGCAAGAAGTCTGGTGTGAGTGAAACAATCTGCGAGGATGATGGGATGCCAATCACTAACATCCATCGACGTCTTGGACGATGGGCAGAATTTTTCGAAGGGCAGTTCAACTGGCCTGCTGCTCCGGCAACATCGGTCAGACTGTCCTGCCCTCCATGGCCGGTGACGACTGATCCACCAAATGAGGAGGAAGTCCGCAAGGAACTCCAACTCTTGAAGCGTTACAAATCACCTGGCCCAGATGACTTACCTCCGGCTCTTTTTAAAGATGGTGGTGACTTTTTGACTAAGGAATTGACGACGTTGTTTACAAAGGTTTGGGATCTAGAGAGTGTACCAACGTCATGGAATGAGTCGATAGTTGTCCCTATCTTTAAAAAGGGTTCACGTCGTTCTTGTAACAACTATCGGGGGATAAGTTTACTTCCGATTGCGTCCAAGCTATTGGCTTCCGTCATTCTTCGTAGGTTGTTCAAAACCCGAGAAAGATTGACTCGCGAGGAGCAGGCTGGGTTTCGTTCTGGTCGAGGATGTATTGATCATATCTTCACCCTCCGCCAAATGTTAGAACACCGCCATACTTTTCAAAGGCCAACAATCGTAGTGTTTCTTGACATTAGGGCTGCCTTCGATTCGTTGGATAGGACTGTTCTCTGGGATTGTCTATTGAAGAAGGGTGTGCCTGAGAAGTTTATTAACATCCTAAAAGCCCTGTATAAAAACACCTCAGGCAGAGTGAGGGCATACAACCACCTCTCTCCATTGTTCCATTCGAGCAGTGGGGTTAGGCAGGGTTGCCCAATCTCACCATTCCTCTTCAACTTTGCCATCGATGACATTCTGGAAACAGCTCTGATGAATGTAAGTAATGGTGGTGTGGATATGCTGCCTGGAGAAAAACTTCTCGACCTTGAGTATGCGGATGATATTGTCTTACTGTGCGATAATGCCCAAGGCATGCAATCCGCACTTAATCAGTTGGCAATCAATGTCCGTAGGTATGGTATGTGCTTTGCACCTTCGAAGTGCAAAGTACTTCTACAAGACTGGCAGGATTCTAATCCTGTACTCACCCTGGATGGTGAGCAGATAGACGTAGTTGAGAAGTTCGTGTATCTGGGTAGCATCATAAGTGCTGGTGGGGGTGTGAGTGATGAGATCAATGCACGAATAGTGAAAGCCAGAGCGGCTTATGCCAATCTGGGCCACCTTTGGCGCCTTCGTGATGTTAGTCTGGCTGTAAAAGGCCGGATCTACAACGCGTCGGTGAGAGCAGTTTTGCTCTATGCTTGTGAAACCTGGCCTCTCCGAGTTGAGGACGTTAGACGACTCTCTGTGTTCGATCATCGCTGTCTCCGAAGGATTGCTGACATTCAGTAGCAACACCATGTCAGTAATGCAGAGGTTCGGCATCGTGTGTTCGGGCACAGAGATGATAACTCAATTGGTGTCACCATCTTGAAACACCGACTTCGGTGGCTTGGACATGTTCTCCGAATGTCGTCCCAGAGAATTCCACGTCGTGCATTATTTGCCGACTCTGGGACTGGTTGGAAGAAGCGGAGAGGTGGTCAGTGCATGACATGGTGTCGTGGCATGAAAGAAAGCTGCAAAGGACTGGCTTGTGTTGATCCTTCACGACTCCCTGGTTGGGGTCCGAGAGATGGTGCAACACAGTGGCTAGAGACGTTATCAGATATGGCTCAGAATAGAAGCCAGTGGCGATCCTGCTGTAACCTTCTTTTACTTTCTTCATAAAAAGTGGTTGTGTCTCCTTTACCTGAAAGATTTCTTCTGATTGTACCTCTTCGTCATTACTCTCTTTTTCTTTTGCGTTCCTTAGTTTTTTTTTCTTTTCTTTCTACTTCTCTTCGAATTCCCATTGTTTTGTGTGGCGCATATATATTGGCGCTCTCTTGTACCAATATTTATGTGTTCAAATAAATAAATAAATAACCACTGCTCACGGTCGTTCCTTAGACTTTTGCCTAACCTAGATCTGATTTGTTGTCGCTCTCCATCGTGTTCAGAGCCTGATGGGATGGGTTTACGAGAATCCATCAGTGCAATAGACTTTGAGGAAATCCATTGGTTCTTTGTAACCCTGTGGTTTAAATCACTCATAGATGTCACTGCTGTTTCCACAGCTGTTTGTATAGCTTTCCAAGCAACATCTAGGTCAGCCTACTTTACAGAACTACCTAAGTGTGATCTCAGTTGTTCCTGGAACCTACTTTTGGTTTTCTCGCTACTCAATTCAGTTCTAATGGGTCTTTTTAGTGTGGATTTTTTGCGTCCAGTGAGGCGCAAACAGATGCGTGCCCGTATGAGGGCGTGGTCGGAGTCCAAGCAGGTACTCCAGAATGAGCGACAATCTTCTACCGACCCTCTCTAACGATGACTGATGGCAATATGGTCTATTTGAGTCCATCGTTGGTTTGGTGTAGTGGGTCGCCATGTTAGACGATGTCTCTCCTTATGCTTAAAATTTATGTTTGCTAAAAATAAACGATTGTCTGAGCATAGCTGCAGCAGACGATCACCATTATCTGTTCGCTGTGCCGGAATACTAAAATACCCACCTAAATGCCTTTCTGTTTGGGCATTAAAGTCACCTGCTACGTGTATTATGTCTGAACGTTTAGCCTTCTGAAGAAGTTCAGATAGCCTTCTGTAAAATTCATCTTTCACTTCATCTGAGCTGCAGTCGGTGGAAGCGTGGGCAGAAACGACAAAAAGGCAACGACATGTGTCCCTATCCTTCCGAGTTCTTACGGAGCCGTTTAGCCGAACAGCACATAGACGACTGTTAACGGGGATCCATTCTAACAGTGCTTGTTCGGCCCTCATGCTTAGTGCTATCCCTACTCCTGCCAGTCCACGAGAGCTGGCCATCGGGCCACCAGATACGCGGAGGGTGTATCTCGTTGGCTCTCCGTGTTGCCGAGATGAGGTCAAGTGAATCACCACACTGGGATCCTGTATGCGTGTTTCAGAGACACAGCATACATCAATGGTACGAGATTCTAGGGTTCTAACCAAGGAAGCCTGTTGACCGATTTGGCATAGGGTGCATTGAAGGCTCCAATGTGTAGTTTGGGACGAGGTTTCAGTAGACCTGGGACAGTGTTTTGAGCACTAGAATCGTTGGCTACGGTGACATTTGAGGGGGAAGCCGAAAAAGGAAGTTTAGAGCGGAAAGTCGATGTAGGAGGAGTAATAGGAAGTGAAGACTGAGGTTGATTATGAATACAGTGGTTTTGAGTGCTGTTAGAGGTATGAGGGCGGTTATCACTTCCCGGTTGACCACACCGTGGAAGGGTTCTTCTGGAGGTACCTGAAAAGGAAGTTGGATTAGAGCTGGTCTTAGTGACCTGGGAGCGTGACCGCAGTGCCCAAGGGACAACTGCTTGAGGTCGGTCACACACGACCTTGTTATGGGTAATTTTTGTGTTAGCTCCGTACTTGTTAAGACTTTACCGCCGGAGACGGATATCCGTGGGATAAGGTGAGGTGTGCATTTTTAGGGTCGACCTTTTCTAACCCCACCTTTCCTTGTGGGAAGGCAGCATCGCTGTCATGCTGGTTGTCTGAAGGAAACACCTTACTGCTGTCACACCTCTGTACAGTCAGCAGTACGACTTCGCCTTCGGACCTTGGGTTTGTTGCTTTTAGTCTTACCGCTCTTCAACCGACCTGTCTGACGTGGTAGGATCTTGAGGAACAGTCGTTCCAGTCAGTATAGCTCGGTTGCTTCATCACGATAGGCAAGCACGACCACCACGTCAAGGTAGCAACAACGGTCGAGTTTAAAGTATATAGTGTTTTATTGATACAAGTTTCACTTTATAGTACCTAATTTTCATGCTATTAGGTAATAGTTTCAGTACTTTGATGTTCACTCAGTCCGATAGTTTAGTTTTCTTACAGCTTCATATATGTGGTATTTGAATTTCAACTTGGTGTCTTCTGTCGGATTTGCTGTCCCTAAAACATTTTAAGTTGCACTGTTTATTCCGGGTATCTAACCTTCACGACCTGGGATTTTGTAAGGGCAATACTTTTTGCAGAATATCGGTGAGTTTCGATAGGTATGAAACCCATTTCCATCTGTTATGGTTTTCATTTTAGGTAAATCAAATACTATCTATTGTCAGTGCCTTTTTTTAAAACTAACTGTATGACTTTTCTTATCCAGTCTCCCCTCGATTCAGTTGTTATAAACGCATCTAATTCTAAAGACCTAAGTCGTATTCATGCTGAGAGTTTACATAAAGGCACTTTAGAATGGCGTTTGAACCACGCAATCGATTCTGGGCAGGCTGACCTGGCAGAAAAGATAAGTGACTCCATTGGAGATCATGTAAGTTATATCATGTGGTTTTCCTGTTACGTTTGTACTCTGAATCGCATTTTATGCAAATACCCTCAAAAAGTAGATTTTCAAGTGTGAGTTCGGATCACAAAATAATTTATTCTCTCCTGCTTTAATTAATAACTATTAGCGAACTCCTTATTCTGTCTCGTTTTAAAATTATTAACATATAGATACATATATGTATATATATGCTCATGCCTATTTAATCTAATTATGTACATTACGTAAACTCATACGACTAATTTCTCGATAAATTTATGAATTATTGGTGAAATAATGATATTCAGCGTTCATTTGTCTCAGTTTTATTTTAAAGCATATTAAAAAAACACTTAAAAACTCCGAGAATATTTGATTGTGTTTCTAAAATTCACCCTACCAACATTGTTTAGAGGAGCTTTAAAATATTGGTGTCCTACTGATGTTAATCATACTGAACGGTCTTTATTATGTAGTGACCCAGTAGCTGTATAGAAATAAAATAAAAACTCATATTCACCCCATACACAAAACAGTTCTTGTTCTACGTACGCGATATATTCCTAATGTTCTGTGTTGGTAAATGATAGTTTGAATCCAATAATAGTGAAATTTATATTTACTATTTACAGTGTATGTTACACGTAACATATCTGTAACTGTAACGGCCTTTTGGTACCAAACAAAAGATTTGAATGTAGAATTTCGGATCTAGTTATGTTACTGAAATGAGGTAAAACTCAAAGATAACCTGATCATATCATGCAAACAGCATAATTCATTCTTAGGCAACTGGCTTTAAGAATACTTAGACACTGAGAATACTTTAACATTGATAGTTATCTAAAAAGTGTTCAGAACATCTTTATTGATCTAATTAGTTTAGTCTATATCTATTACTGAAGGATTATTACCCTGTTCCTCTCTAAATAATCAGTCGTAAATAGTGTAAAACCTGGCACATGTGCATCATCGGTTCGAGTTGAGACAACACATTTTAACGGCGGGGTAAAATTATCAAGATAAATCCCAGTTTGTTAGAAGTATTAACATAATCAGTAGTAATAGTAGAAAAGACTAGACACAGAGTTAAAAGATTAAAGGATTTTCGGACTCAAGATATAAGGATAGACAAAGTGTAGATGCACCTGCGGCATTTCAAACGATTCTCGGCTATTTCACACAATAGCTTCGGCCACTGATTACAATATTCACGGAGATCTAACTAGGCGGTCTGCATCTATCTATATGGCTCAGTCGAATCGTAATGTCTCGGTTTAGTTGCCTTTAGCTTTCTTTCAATGTACTCATACACCAGTCATGATTGTGCGCCGCTATAAGTGGTGGCTAGGGATATATAAAGCCTCATATATATAACAACCACCTCATTTGATAACTCATTAGCATTACCAATCGATTCACCATCCTTATCTAGTACTCCGCCTCTAACCTAAGAATTGCTAACTCATAGTCCCAACATATACAGGCGATGACTTGAGAGAATCTGTGAACTGCGAATATGATCTGTCTCGTTCTCCGTGGTGTGATTCAGTGAAATCCATATAACTCTGTACATGCGTTTGAGTGAGAATATTGTGCCGCTTTAACCAATTTGTTGAATGTACATAGATTTGTAAATCTCTCCTCATTTTCATCCTTTTCTCCTAGTCCATGTCTTCCCATGATATCTTCATATTCGATGTTGTCCATTCCGACTTTTGTGTTTAGGTCCCTCATCAGGATGGTGAGGTCCTTTCCTTGGGCACTTTGCTATGATCGGTTGCAGCCTCTCATGAAAATGATCTTAATCGTCGTCATTGCTATCATTAGTGGGTGCATAAGATTGGACAATATTCATTGTAATTCCCTCCTTCGTTGGTTTGAAGGATGCTTTGATGATGCTGGATCTGTGAGATTCCTATCCTATAAGTGCATTTCGTGTTTCTTTGTACAGCATCAGAGCAACTCCCTGAGTGTGTGAAGCATTTTCCTCCTTGTGACCGGAGTACAGCAGCATCTCTCTGATATCTGGCCTTTGCTGTCCAGCTTTGGTCCAATGGATGTTGCTGATTCCGAGAACTGTCAAGTTGTATGTCCTCATTTCCGTTGCTATTTGATTGATCCTCCCGGTCTCTCACATTATCCGGACGTTCCATGTACCCATAAAAATTGTTGCTCTGGTTGCTAGAAGGGGCATCGGCATTGTGACTTTCAAAGAATCTCGGCTTTCATCATGAGGCGTCATGATTCTCCCTTTAACTCGGAGTCAGAGTTTAAATGATTTGATTTGTTTGATCTGGATGGCGTTATTTTAGCAAGATTGTTTTTTACGGAGTGGGGTTGCTGACCACATGCCCAACCTTCCTCTTTTACCAGAGCTTGGGACCGGCAGTAACTCTAGAAGAGCTACAGGCGGGGTTATATATATACTAGTTATGAGGAAAGCCTACAAAGTTTTTCCTTTTACCTTATTCTCTCAATCCTAACACTTGTTTCTTAAGAAGAATTGCTTGAAATACATGGAAAATCGAATGTGCAATCTTTGATATCATAAATTGAATTGCAAATAATAAATTATTTGTTCATCTATTTCTGACATCGAAACTGGATTCAGTTAAATCAAAAATACTAAGTGGCGCATCTTAACTGTATTTTTCCAAAGGAAAGTATCATATATAGCATATTTATTAATATTTCTTTGATAAAAACCTCTAGTTTGTATAGTTGCGCTACTCGCTTAAATAAAAATTGCAATTTATGAACACATTTTATGGCAATCTGTAATATTCATGACTTTCATTCGTAGAGCACGTAATTAATGGGAATTCACAAATAATTTTTATTATATTTTACTGATCCATTCATAGTCTATATGTTTTGAAAACCCATGTTTAAATGATCAAAAGATTTATTATAAGATGTTTTATAACAAAAGAGGTTTGACATCAGAAACTACTGCTATGCTCTGCGGTTGTTCGAGTTTGCTACTGATAAAAAACACGCTTACTATATATGTAGCCAAATCAGCTAATTGAGTGTGAAAACCGAGAGTGAGTAGGAATTTTTGATAGGCTAACCGGATCAAAAATGTATACACAACTCACAAACATAAATATATGTCCCTCAGAAAATGAAGCCACATTTTTAATCTGTAGCGTATGTTTATTTCCTTGAAAAGTCAGGCCGAATCTTGGTCAATAACGTGCGCCCGTCAGCATTTCTCACTTGTCATTTAGCCTGTCTGATTGACTCAGCGTATCAATTATTTCTAGTGCTGATCCTCAGTTGCTAAGTTCTGAAAGATTACTCTATGTTTATCAAATACTTAATTCAGAAACTACAGCTAGTTCGACAACCGTAATACATTAATAATACAATCCATTTAAGTATAAAAATGATTCATAAATAGTAATTTATTGTGTTAGTCATTCTCATCCACCTCGATTTTTCCTCAAATCTATAGTTGTTGTCTACAGCTTCTTCCGACAAAAATATTCATTTGACTTTGAGCAAGCAAGATGAATACAAAGAGGAATTAAAAAATCGGCGACCTGTTTGGCTGTAAGTTTATGATTTATTGAGTCAATTTTTCCTCTTTTATGCTTTTTTTATGGAACACCATATCTGTAACTGTTTGTCTGTCTATTTTTAACTTTGAAAATTAACAAGGTTGATTTTTTATGTGGTAAAAGACTTATTACAGTATCGATAAATGTAAAATCAAAGATGGATATTCACTAATGGTATTGTATCGTAGTGATGGCCCCATATTATGAATTTACTAATGCTAAGAACCCCTGCCTAATACATCACGACATTTCGATTACAAAAGTCATCCCGTAAGATGTACTGAACTCCTCATTCACATGATTGATGGGTGGCTTATTTCCTCAGTAATACAAATTGTCTTGTTAACACACACCAACTCACATCACTTGTTGCACTCAACTGATTATTCTGTCTAAAAGCTTACTTTTGAAAAGCTAAAGGGAAATATGTACCACACAAACAAACCACATATACGTATTAATCACTTTGAAGCAACAAGTGCGTATACGCACTACGTCTTATAGACTTACTTACTTACTTACTTACTTACGCCTGTTACTCCTCGTGAAGGAGCATAGGCCGCTCACCAGCATTCTCCATCCAACCCTGTCCTGGGCAATCCTTTCTAGCTCCGTCCAGTTGTAATTCATCGTTTTCATATCTGCTTCTATTATCCGACGCAATGTGTTCTTTGGCCTTCCTCTTTTTCGCTTCCCTTCAGGATTCCAGGTTAGGGCTTGCCTCGTGATGCAGTTTGATGATTTGCGTAATGTATGTCCTATCCATTTCCATCGTCTTTTCCTAATTTCCTCTTCAGCTGGAAGTTGGTTTGTTCTCTCCCACAGAAGGCTATTGCTGATGGTATCCGGCCAATGGATGTTGAGTATCTTGCGTAGAAAGCTATTTATAAATACTTGTACTTTCTTGATTGTGGTTGTTGTAGTTCTCCAAGTTTCGGCTCCATACAGTAGAATTGCCTTGACGTTCGTATTGAAGATTCTCACTTTGATATTGGTTGAAAGTTGTTTTGAGTTCCATATGTTCTTCAATTGTAGGAATGCGGCCCTTGCATTGCCAATCCTCGCCTTTACGTCTGCATCTGAACCTCCTTGTCTATCGACGATGCTTCCCAGATATGTGAAGGATTCTACATCTTCCAGAGTTTCGCCATCAAGGGTGATTGGATTGCTGTTTTCCGCTTTGAATGTGAGGACCTTGGTTTTCCCTTTGTGTATACTGAGGCCTACTGATGCAGAGACTGCTGCTACACTGGCTGTTTTCATCTGCATCTGTTCGTGTGTACGTGATAGGAGGGCTAGGTCATCTGCGAAGTCCAGATCGTCTAATTGGTTCTGAGCTGTCCATTGTATTCCGTGTTTTCCTTCATTTGTCGAGGTCTTCATAATCCAGTCGACCACCAGAAGAAAGAGGAAGGGAGAGAGTAAACAGCCTTGTCTGACTCCGGTCCTTACTTGGAATGCATCTGTCAGCTGTCCTCCATGCACGACTTTGCACTGTAGTCCGTCGTATGAGTTCCGGATAATATTGACAATCTTCTCAGGAACTCCGTAGTGTCGAAGAAGTTTCCATAATGTCTTCCTATCTACACTGTCGAATGCCTTTTCATAATCAATGAAGTTGATGTATAGTGATGAGTTCCACTCAACGGATTGTTCGACGATGATCCGTAGTGTTGCAATTTGGTCTGTGCACGACCGATCCTTACGGAATCCAGCTTGTTGATCTCGAAGTTGGGCGTCTACTGCATCCTTCATCCGGTTCAGCAACACTCTGTTGAAGACTTTCCCTGGTATTGACAGTAGTGTTATGCCTCTGTAGTTTTCACATTTGCTCAGATCTCCTTTCTTTGGAATCTTGACGAGGTGTCCTTCTTTCCAGTCCATCGGCACTTGTTCCTCCTCCCAAATCTTTTTGAATAGAGGGTAAAGCATGCTTGTGGTTACTTCGATGTCTGATTTCAGTGCTTCAGCTGGTATGTTGTCGGGTCCCGCTGCTTTCCCGTTCTTGATTTGTCTGACGGCCATTCTAATTTCTTCCGCAGTTGGTGGATTGACATCTATAGGAAGATCTATGTGTGCTGCTTCGATGTCCGGTGGATTCATTGGAGCCGGCCTATTCAGGAGTTCCTCGAAGTATTCTACCCATCTGTTACGCTGTTGTTGAATTTCGGTGATTGGCTTGCCTTCTTTGTCTTTGACCGGCCTCTCTGGTTTACTGTATTTCCCTGATAGTTTCTTCGTTGTATCGTAAAGCTGTTTCATATTTCCTTCTCTAGCAGCTTTTTCCGCCGTCGTTGCTAGTTCTTCCACGTATTTCTTCTTGTCGGCTCTAATGCTCCTCTTCACTTGTTTGTTTGCTTCTATGTATTCAGCTTGTGCTTGGACTTTCTCTGCCCGTGTTCGGCTGTTGTTTATTGCTGCCTTCTTGTTCTTCCTTTCTTTGATCTTGTCCAGTGTTTCTATAGAGATCCATTCCTTGTGATGGTATTTCTTTAGACCGAGGACCTCTTGACACGTTGAAGTTAATGTTTCCTTAATGCCTTTCCAGTTGTCCTCCATAGTAGTTTCTTCTTCTTTCAGTAGATCTTGTAAGGCTTGGAACCTGTTGTTGAGAGATATCTTGAATTCATTGAGTTTGACAGTATCTCGAAGGAAGGCTGTATTGAACCTTTGTAGTGCTGTTTGTCCACTTGTCCAGTTCTTTTTTAGCTTCAGTTTCAAATTGGCTACAACTAGGTGGTGATCTGAAGCTACGTCAGCACCTCTCCTGGTTCTCACATCTTCCATTGCCCTTCGGAATTTTTTGTTGATGCAAATATGATCTATTTGGTTCTCTGTAGTGTGGTCCAGTGAGATCCATGTAGCCTTGTGTATACGCTTGTGTGGAAATATTGTGCCTCCTATGACCAATTTGTTGAATGCACATAGATTTGCAAATCTTTCTCCATTTTCGTTTCTTTCTCCCAGTCCATGTCGTCCCATAATATCTTCATATCCAGTGTTGTCTATTCCGACTTTGGCATTTAGATCTCCCATTAGAATGGTGATGTCCTTTCTTGGGCATTTCTCCATCACTGACTGCAGCCGCTCGTAGAATTGATCTTTAATGTCGTCGTTGCTATCATTGGTGGGTGCATAACATTGGATAATATTCATTAAGATCCCCTCCTTCTTTGTTTTGAATGATGCTTTGATGATTCTGGATCCGTGAGATTCCCATCCTACAAGTGCATTTCGTGCTACTTTGGACAGCATAAGAGCGACTCGCTGAGTGTGTGGAGCATTGTCCTCTTCGTGACCAGAGTATAGCAGCATCTCTCCCGTAGCTAGCCTTTTCTGTCCAGCTTGGGTCCAGTGGGTTTCGCTGATTCCCAGTACTGCCAAATTGTATCCTCATTTCCATTGCTATTTGACTGGTCTTCCCGGTTTCCCACATTGTTCGAACGTTCCATGTACCTATAAAAATTTTTGCTCTGGTTGTTAGAAGGGGCATCGGCCTCGTGGCTTCCGAAGGAACTCGGCTTTCACCATGAAGCGTCATAATTCTTCTAAATGAAGACCTTCTAACTCCCAGGGCAGAGTTAAAATGGTTTGAATTATTTTTTCTGGTAAGCGTTTTTTTAGCGAGTTAGTTTTCTACGGGATGGGGACGCTAACCCCATGCCCAACCCTCCTCCTTTACCCGGGCTTGGGACCGGCAGCAACCCTATAAGAGCTACAGGCGGAGTTACGTCTTATAGACGACTAACACAAATTTTTTTGATGAGATTTATTGCAAAGGAAGTAAATTTATCTGATAAAGGTGTCTACATTCATTAAGTGAAAAAATCAGAATAAATTCTACACAGGATTAGTCACTTCCTACTCCGATCTTCATTGTTAAGTTAGACATGAGAAAGTTTCAGGTTGGCCAAACCAAGTCTTTTTGCCAGCTGATCATCAGTTATCATCTCTTGGTTTAAACTGTTTGCAATTGTTCTAAACATGCTTATGATATTTGAAATATAAGGGATTATTTGTTGATAATTTAAACGTCATAGTTTAGTAAGATGGTTGACGAAATTTTCACATCTTTTTAGACTCAACTACAAACATTTAATATAATAGATGGATTGTGGCTAGCAGCGAAATACAGGACACGCATTTTGTCGTTTTAAACTCGTCTGCTGAATGTACGTGAGTCGCATGCATCCAGCTGACGTGCCCCAAGCGAGACGAAACAATCGTTCTGGATTTAGTTCTAGCCAAAACCTATCTATTCAGTAAAATGTTTTGAAAATGGCTCTATCGACGCTATCCGCTCAGGGTGTATATATCCCAGTTAAGACTAGTAAAAAGATCTGTCAAGATTTATCAGTAACGAGATAATCCAAGTCTTTAATTAGGTATAAGACATTTGTTTATTCAGTTCTTGGCCTACCCTTCTTTCTAGTTCGCACCTATGTTACTTATTTATCAAGTACAGATTTACGTACGAACCTGAGAACCACACTTTTTGTAAAGCTAGTGATACCATAGGGTTGCTTGTACTCGAAGTAAGAATCGAACATTAATCTCCTGGTTGAAAGCTAGACGCTTTAACCACTTAAGCTGACGCTCCACTTTAATTCTTGTTAATCGTTGTTTTCGTCTCTTTTTTCTGTGTTACGAATCGAAATGTGAAAACTTGACCCATTTTGATGTTGTCTACCTTATAATTTCATAGTTTATCATGAGAATACGGCTCACTATTATGAACAGTCATAAGGAATCAATATTCTACATCAAAATGTGACATGTTTTTCTCTGTTAAGTTTATCTCTTTCTCATATTGTTTCACTTTTTGTGTGATTTTTAATTAACCAAAAATCCATGTATAAAGTTTTATTTGATTTAAAGTTTTAGTATTCAATCTCTTTAGTAAATAATTATTAATGCAAATTTTAAACAGATTTTTGAGATTAACTCTGTACAAAAGAGCAGTTTGAACGATACGCATGAAAAACAAAAACTAGATTCTTAATTACTGTGTTCATAGATATAATCATGAAAATAAGCCAAATAGTATGTTTTATGAGGTTCGTAAATAAGAGAGCTGTAAAACCAAGGTTTATACTTTCCACCTGCATTTCGCTGCATATTTTGCATTAATTTGTCATTTGTTGTATTCCCTAATGTTGAAGAACAGTAGATGGTTAGCTTAGTATGTCATGCTACTTATGCTAACCAGAAGAGTTCGATCAAATCTGTTTGACGCGTGGTACCATACGATTCCCGATCCGTTTATATGCTAAATACATTATTTTTCAAATCAATAACTAATTAGTACATCTATTTTATGTCCTCATAGGAATACTTCATAAACATTGTCTTTATAATTATTGTACTTGACGTTAAATAAAAACAAAAGTTTCTATAATGTGTTGCTTTAAGCAGTCTGCTGTACATATGTAAGAATCCAGTGCATATTTCTTGTAAATAAACATAGGAATTAAAGAGTATGTACTTTTATCAGTGTAAATTTTCCCCTTGACTGCTTCTTTGTTTGTTAGCCTATATTTCGGCACCGTTTGTTCATTATGTATGTATCTCCCCTGTTTCCAATTAGTTTTGTGTCTCATTTTAAATTCATAGTTCTTTGGCACCCCGCTGTCATATTTTAGGGGTTAGAGAGAACCATCCTGTTCTATAAGTGCTAAAATACGACTACAGATTTCAGAATCGAATGGTGATTGAAATTCAGTGCAAAAATTAAATATCTGAATTGGTTTCGGATTAGTGAACACAGACTAAATTATTATTTATTTATTTAAACACATAAATCACCCGATTTGTGTGAGGGCTGTGATACTGCTCGGGTGCCCAAACCGAAGCAGGTGGTTTTCCTAGGGGGCCACACCCCGAGCCTTTGACCTAAAGGTCTGATCCACAAGCCAGTGGAGCATCGTGAGGAGATGCAGTCCCATGGAAGCCGGTGACCAACGATTGGTTCATACACCATTTGTTTCTGCAGGATACTGGAGCTCATGTGCACCATTGGTTTGGAGTCCAGTTAAAGGGCCAGACATTCGCTTTTCGTCCTTTCAATTTCGTAAACAACACCCCCGCTACGAGAATGCAATGAGTAGGACTTCCCTGGCAGAGGCTGTATACGCGTGGCCGTTTAAGAGTATTTCGAGGAGGGCGGACTTTCCCCACTCTCGGCCGTACCAGGGCATTTGGGGGCACACAGACTAAAACGATCTCATGATCGATTCAGTCTATCAACATAAGTCAGGGAATCAGTAGGTAACTTGGGTATTTTTAAACAACTGTAATGGCTAGTGAGTAGGGATGATCACTCACCAAAAATCTTTCAAATAATAATAAATATTATCAACAAATTAATGTCTCTAGACAATTTCGGCAGAATAACATTCGTATATTTAACGTATTCACAACTTCTTGAGAAAAGAAAAAGCTCTTGTGCCATTGTCCAGATCAACCAATTAAATTTTAAACACATCTTCATATCTCTTGTACCAGACGTCTAATGTAATATCATTTTCGGGATCAGAAGTAAAATCAGTGATTTGAAGTGCCAATCTTCCTTAAAGTATCTCACTTCTAAGCATAGACTAACAAAAGTAAACATAAATGGATTAAGTATTGCTACCAAGGTGTTACTGGATAATTTCAAATGAATGAAGAACTAGGCGAATGGTTTATAACAAAAAGAACAAAAGTATGCTATTAAAATGTATCAATGAGTAAAATATAAAACTTGTTATATTTTGCGACTTAATATAAGTCGCTTATTCAGTGAATATAACGGAAGAAATTCACTTTACTATTTATTGGGATATTACAAATACATTATCATATTATTTATTATACGTCAATTAGGATGAAAAAAACCCACTGAAGGGTAAAACAAATAAAAAGCACAGAAATACTGATAACATTAACTGGATATACTTTATCAAGTTTTTACTGATTTATCACAGGTATATCCTCTGAAGCCAGTAAAAATAGGCTGAGTAACGAGAATTGTCATTGTCATTATGGAAACTGCTAACTGAAGTAACGCCTCATTCATGATGCTTTCAATAGAAGTTACACGCTAATGTAATATGATATAGTTAGTGACATCTGGAAATAAATTTTAATTACGTATTGTTTCACTTTTGCGTAAGTTGATTTCATGAAAAATTAAGATAAGTAGACATTGTTGGATATTACATTCTTACTACCTAAGATGGGTGATTTCGTTTACCATATTAAAACTATTCTGGTCAGAACTGACAAGCCTTTTTCCACTAATTCAATGTGAAAACTGTTCAGAATAATATTCGTTTTATTTTCAGTGTAATAATGTAATTTTTATTCAAGATAAGATATTCTTTATATCGATTTAACATGTTCAGCATTCGATTTCGTCATAATTTCATATATGTGACTTACATTTACATATATTAAAATAATTAAACAAAGTGTATGTATGGTAACATGATCAATATTTTAATAGGTTACTATATGTTGATTTATGGAATCTATTAAGATCACTTTTTACAATATCGAACGAGATTTACTATAATAAATGTTGTTTTTAAAGGTATGTAGCTTTATCTAGGTCTTAGGAATCGAATAAGTACTAATTGGTATAGACACATTTCAAACCTTGTTACGTTTCTATTTTAATCTATCTCAAAGTGTTCAAACCTGTGGGTAACATCCTCACTTTGCTTGGATACTCGTCTGCGTAGTTACATAATGCTAAGGCATAAAGTCGCTTCTGGGTATTTTTCGTACTTTTTTGTATGATTATATTAGTTAGGCAACTAGAAACAAACTAACGTTATCATGCTTTTCTCGTAGTTGGAAAATCATCGTGAAGTGGATATTGTATTATTTAGAAAACTTGGTGCTTAATTTATTTTTGAGGACTGTGTCATGCATATAATAATAATTTTAGGAATCAACATTCCTTTATATAACAATGGTTTTATTTCTAGTTTTCAGGCTAAAGAACGGTGGGAAGCGAAATCGAATATGTAGCAATGTAGCTACCGCATCCAACAACATTGGAGATTACACGAGGATTTTAAAAGCCAACAGTGCTGTTATAGTTTAATAAATTTCTAAGGAATAAACCAATATTTTACGCATATTTCACAATAATCACCTATTTACATAGTACCCAACATTAGATGCATTTTACTTAAAACACCACTTTTGTGTGCCATGGTTTCACCTGTCACGTTTCAAAAACCGGACCGTAAATTTACTTAACTACTGAGTTATGTTATTCACTTCTACAAATTTCAGTTTATGTACATGATATTCGTTACCTCTAACTCACAAAAATTCAGGAGCTTACGATCAGATATTGCAATTAATTGGGTTACCTTGTTAGTATTGAGAATATTTCATGTTACTTTACTTGTAGTCATTAAATCGTATATTCTAACTACATATGGAACCAGATAAGTTATACTATCGTTATTAGATAGGTAAACATTTCACTACTGGGAGTTTGTACAGACTTGCCCACAATACATCGCGGAGTGATTAGGCGGAGATTACATCTAAAAGCAAAAATAAAGGTGGTTAAACCAGACTCATTTAACTTCAGTAGGTTGTTTTTCAGATTGTATGCTCTCAGATTACTACTTAGCTATCAGTCAGAAGTGTCTCCGGATCCTACACTTTCTTGGCCATGTCAACGTGAAATTCGAACTGTCTAAACGAGCTTGACAGCACTTTGAGTTGTTTTCATGTCTGCAGTCATGTACAAATCCCATTATATCAATTGGATTCAACCAGTATACCTTGATGTCTGTAGATAGTCTAGTCTCTAACTTTGTAGGTCCTCTGATATTGCAGCTTATTTGCACTATGAAGAACAGCTACTTATATGAAATCTCCAAAGTGACAAGTGTGGGCAAAATATCACATCAAGTTTTTCGATCTTTACTTCGTTGCCATTCTCATGATTAACAATTCTATTTTACGTTTCTTTTGTGCACCAGCAAGATGCAGCCAATGTTTGTCGAGAAACATGCGAATCACATTCCTAACGTACCACTAAGATATCTAATAAGAATTACTTTATATACGTTCACCTTGGCGAACTGTTATCTATGCATTTATTACGAGGGCATATGTACTGCTAGGACTAACTACTAATGTTTTCAACTAGATTAAGGAGTTAATGACTGCAATCTCGTTTTTATTGAAATTTTAGCGGAACTGATTAACTTTTTACAAATAGCACAACATCTGTCTTTGGAATTCAAACTCGTTCCATGCTGTCACCTATAATGCTGCAATAAGTAGTGTCGTGGTTGCAGTAAGTCATCTTAATACAATCATATAATTACAGGTGTTCGATATCAGAAACTTCAAACTAACATCTAGATCATGTCTGACACAACATAAACAGACCTAATCACTTCAGCTTAGCATATCGACTTTTAATATCCTCACTGATTGGTATCATTTACTATTTTTATAACGTCTTGATTTGTTGCTAAATGAAGAAAACATAATAATTAATCGAATTTTCAAGAGCATTTATTTTTAAAGTAATACATCAAATTAGTAAAGAGTAAGCTGACGAGAATACAATTTAGATTAAGAGGTAGCAAGATAAATGCTTGGAAATAAACACACAAGATAGTCGATTAGACAAATTATGATAGGGAGACTAAAATTTTTTACATTTGTACACTAAGAAAGACAATATACATAGTACTGACACTAGGAAAGGTTACAGTACGTCATTTTTTTGATAACTGCCCAGATTCTATTAGAAAATCTTCAAAATCAGCTGCTTGTTCTCCATCTAATTCTCCTAACGATTCATCAGAAAGATTGAGTTTCGAACCGATTTCTTCATATACTTGGTTTGATTCCGTCCAATTTTGACAATTGGTGTTTTGAATAGCAGCCATTTCGGAAGCGTACATTAGCAGGTCTAAAACAGTGGAACGGAGTATTTTTGTCGGTAACTGTTCTTCGACTAGTAGTGTGCGCATCCCACTTAGGCATTTATTTATTAACATTGAGAGATACGATGCAGATGTGCAATCTGTGGACGACTGGTACGGGTCATTCTCCCGATCATCCAAACTACAAGTACGTTGCCAGGCCCCATTAAGGACTCTTACATTGACAGTTGCTAAAGCGGAATTGAAATACATAAGTCCGTGAGAGAAACCATCAAATAATTGATACAACAAGCTATCCCAGCTGGTTTCAGATAAAAGAGCACACGATGCATCTAGTAGAGACAAGCCGGTTTCATTCACTTCAGAGTTTCCCACTCTGACAAAATGAAGTTGGAGTTCGCAAACGGCATCCACAAGTAAACAAAAGTCTATACAGGGTTCAATGGGTGGAATACATACGTAGGATTCACAATCATCAGAAGCGTTTAGATTAGTAATAAGATATCTGAGGAACACAATCAGACCAAAAAGATGATCAATTGGTAAGTCCGTTGGTTCTTTTTGAACATCACTGGACTCCACACTCATCCTACATGATGTAGTGGAGTCAGACAAAACATTTTCTGAGCTTAACATCAAAGACTTCAAAATGCTTCCAGATAGAACTTCTTGAGTCATCAACTTAACACTTTTCAGGACACCAGCTTCCAAACCATTCCCCTTTGTATCAGGCAAATAAGCTCGTACATCTTTAAAACATCGAAATCCCAGACTGACTCGTTTAACATTTTTTGTAGTCAACTCGGCAAGGATTTCTCCAACCAAATGAGATGCGTGTGGTACATCAAGCTCTGCAATTGCTTTAATCTGGAGTTAAGGAAATAACCCAACAAAAAATATTGTTACGGTGAAAAGTTGAATTAAAATTGTTACATTGCTACCCTACTTAGTAAAATACTTTATCCAAGTGGGTAATTATTTGTTTATTTATTTTATTTAAACACATAGATATTAGTACGAGGGGGTACCAGATACATATTCGCCACACAAATTTTATTTGATATGTGTGAGTGCTGTGATACTGCCCGGGTGCCAAAACCGAAGCAGGTGGTTTTCTTAGGAAGCACACTCGGAGCCTTCGTCCTAAAGGTCTGATCCACAAGGCAGTGACCAATGATAGGTTCATACCCCATTAGTTCCCTCCGGAGCCCATGTACACCATTAGTTTGGAATCAGGGTTTTTCAAATCCTCTAGGTAGAATTTCTGTGTCCACCAACCCGGTTAAAGAGCCAGACATTCGCTCTTCGTTCTCTCAATTTCGTGAAAAACACCCCTGCCGCGAGAAGGAATTTCCTGGTAGTGGTTATATGCATGTGGCCATGTGAAGGCATTTCGAGAAGGAGAATTGACTTTCCACATTCTCGGCCGTACCAGGGCATTTATTGTTTACTTAAAGATAATAAAATACTTTGGATTGGTGGCGTAATAGTTAGTGCCTGACTATTAACAATCCTAGGTGTTTTTCCCTCACCAAAGCAGAAGCTAATCTTCTAGTGGCTTGAAGTCAGGTACATAAAATATTTACTTGTTAAATTTGTTTCTACGCACAAATTGTAAACATGCAGCAGGAACAATTATGTCCTGCCATATGTTTACGAAAAAGATCACACGGAAGTTAATTATGTTTCTGAAACTGTTCTTTTAATTAGCAAAACAAAAAACTAGAAATTGATAGTTGGCAAATTACCCTTTGAATAGTATGTGACGTTAATAAGACTTCTAATACACTTTACCAAAATAACGAATCTACAGATGCTATTTGTTTGAGGGTATTATATAATCTATTAAAACAACTAAAAACCTTGAAAATAACCGATTAGGAAAATTTACACCAAGTAAAACAGCATACCTATTGAAGTGCCGACAAAAAGGAAAGTGATATGCAAAAGGCAAAACTAAGTGACTATAAAATAGCATTATTGAATGTTAGTGTACGTTATTACTAGCCATAAATAATGGAATACTCGAAAAATATGGAAATATGCTACTGAGTTATCCTAATGGTTCAAAATACTGTGTATGTGAGGACTAGTAAGGTTAGTTGGCAATGCGACTTGCATATGTTTTTAAGTTGCATAACTGTCGGTTGCATATTGTTTTCTCCCGCCTTAACCCTAGACAATATTAGTGGAAGTAAATCATCACAGGACACTATCTATTTTGGGACGCACTACTGCATGACATTGAAATATGTAAGAACGACTTAAGAGGTAAATAAAGTCAGTTTACATAGTCACTGGTGCTTGAAATGGTTGACCTATGAGAGACAGCCCCTATTTATTTGTTTGCGTTATAGTACCTCATGATCGTATACCTTTTGGGTGGTTTAGTTAGTAATGAACTTTCTCGATCTCTAGCTGAATTAGAGCCATTTAAGATCTGTGGTCTAACTAAATAGTAGACACAAGTTACAAGTTGATAACAATGAATAATTGTTAACGTTCGAATGATAACCATAGGTAGAGTAGAGCAACCGATATAAAATATTAGAGTATACAAATATCATGAATTCCACATTGGAAATAGGTCAACCAAGGACTTAACGAATGTAAAGTCGCGCACTGCAACCCAACAGTACTTACCGTCAATACAACTACCTCTTAACCTAAGGGTTACATTTGACTCTCAGTAGTTATACGCTGATGTCTGACAGAATGGAAGGGTTAGAAGTAAACTTATCCCAAAAAAAAAAAATAAGAGCGGAGGAAACAAATTCTGTTTGTCCCAGTTACTTTACTTAGGAATAAGTAAGATGAAAACGACAAATACAATAATAGGCGGGCAATAAGTGAAAGAAAAATGATGAAATTCACAATGAAGGACCAGCACGGGTATTAACATACTGTCTGACCTTCGGCATTTACCTACAAGATTAGTTTATATATCTAAAAGATAACTGTGCATATATCTATCGCCCTTCCAAAAGAAAATGTTCCGACATTTAGTCTATAGTTACCGATCTGAAATACCTTTAAGACCACACAAACCTGTTGATGTGCTAGGAAACGTCATAATCCATTAACTGAGTTACATTCATGCAGAATGCATTGCTAAAAAACTACTGACATGGAAGACAAACATTTAAGTCTAAATGAAACGAAATTCAGCGTTGAAACTGCTTGGCACTATTTATGTGAGGAATCCGAAGACAATTAGTAGTATTGTCGGATGACTTACTTTTTTCATGTGTCCTTGAACCTCTCCTAGAGGTACATTGAAAACATCCTCAACTACAGTTTTCATCTCTGACAGAGTTCTTTGCTTTATATCAGCCAGTGGTACAAACTCCTTTGCATTTTGGTCAAGTTTTGATGATACTGGTTTGCAGTCAGACATTTCTAAAAAAAGCTACATATATTGGAGTATCTCAGTGTGAAACATTCAGAACAAGAAGTGCGAGTGAAAAT